AAAATAAAAATAAATAAATAAAAATCCTGGTTTTTTGCACCATCTGTCCTTACTAAGCCCATTAAGAGTAACATAAGCAGCTAAACAGTTATCTGTTCAATATCAGTCTTTAGTTTTTCTGTTTTGGATGGATGGATATTTTTTTGCATACAAATAAGCAACAAAATAATTTGAGATTGTTCACAATACATTATACATTTCTACACTGTTTGATGAGCCACTGATGGCTTTGCCTTGCAGATTGGTTTAGCAGTCGGAGACATTGCTGAAGTTCAGAGAAATGCTTCCCTGAAGCGAATAGCGATGCAGGTAAGTTAGGAGATGGTCTTCCTGACGATCTTTTATGTGCTGCAGCTTTTACAACTTACTCTGATTTTGGACTGTCATGACAGTGCATTAAGGCCACCAGAATTGTAAATCAAGTGCACAGTTGATGTAACGACGTATTGTTGTTGAGGCCTTTTTTATTGAGCTTGGGATCAAGTCCAAGTAACATTATAAGAAGCAGGAGATGATGAATTGTATGCAAACTACAAAGTAAACTATTAATATCCTGCTGTACCATGCCCGAAACAAACTCAGCGATTAGGCAGTGCTATAAAACAATGAGTGTGGCAGATGTGTCTCAGAATGATTAACTATGTTTGTTTGGTTTTCTAATGTGGAGTTTATGTTTCCCCTCTGATCTAAGATTGATCTCCACACATCCCTCGAAGACAAGCTACCTTACTGGATTATGAAGCGAGTGGACAAACCCTCAGTCACCATCTACCCCAATCGCAAATGCTCCAAGGTATGCTCTGTGCCTACGCTTGTCATAAATCATGTCAGTTTCCTCTTTTGTAAATATTCACTCTGTCTCACAGCACTTCCTAAAACAAATCATCTCTGGTGAGGACGAAAGAAGTGAAGTCTGGACTCGTCTGCAGTCCAAATCACAGAGCTGCACACTTGTGGAGAATGAGCTCAAAAAGCAGAAGGCCAGGTAAGACACCTACCAGTAGCTGACCACAAGCCATTAATTTCTTTAATTGCCTAAAAGCTTAAAACCATGGATTACTTCAAAGTGGGGATGTCAAAGAAAGCTTGAAATAATCACCATAAATACAGTAATCCATTCCAAAATACAATATAGTACTGAAAGGTGGTAATGTAATGAGGCACAACAAACTTAATTTTTTATGTCTGAGCGTCCCCTACTGGTGAATAATTGTAGCATTTGATGTAAAATCCCACTTAGTGCCTTGTGAAAGTATTCACATCCTTTGAGGTTTTCCACATTTCCCCTAACTTTTGTTGTTTTTTCATGGAATTATTTTATTATTTTATTTTTTTTACAAAATCCCAAAGTAATACAGAGGTTTATAGTTCAGGAAAAAAATATGCCTGTGCTTTTTTTCTTTTATTATGAAATGTATTGCATTTAAGCCTGATCATTCTTTATACATCCTCCTTTTGCCACACCTACAAGTCTTTTTTAGTTATGTTTCTATAAAACTTGCATTATTCAATACTGAAATTTTGCCACATTCTTATTCTCAAAATACCTCAATCTCAGTCAGATTAGATGGAGACACATTTTTAAGCCTCACCACACAGATCCTCATCTGCCACACAGTTGTTGCAATTGACAATTCTTTGTTTTCATTTGCTTCGTTATTTTTGGCAGGATGAAAGAAATGTCAGGCATGTTGGAGAAGCAGCACTGCCTCCTAAAGCTCATCATCCAGAAGATGGAAATCTCCTCTGAGGCCGAGGAGTCCGATGGTCCTGTGACAATCAAAGGCAGCATGTGGCCCAGCTTGGGTCATGGCAAAGCAAGAGTCCGCAGCACGTCACGCTGGGTGCCACTAATTAAGGCCATCGAGGCCAAATGCAAATAGGAGAGACCTACACAGCATGAACTTTTCTGATTTGCACAGTGAATTTCCATTAGTATATAGGTGTAGTTGACATTTTAACATGTAAAACTATGTGTGTGACTGTAATTGCTTATATCAAGATCAAGTCCTCAATTACAATATTTGCTTTCTGAAAGGAAAGAAGAAAGAAAATATTGGATAAGTCAGGATGGAAATGATTGTAATCTTGTGTCGTTTATTGTTGCTTGTTTTTCTTGCAGTTGCTGTCTATGTAATGCTTTAATGCAGCGGTTCCCAAATCCAGTTCTCAAGTATCCCTACCCTGCATGTTTTAGATGTTTCTCTGTTCTAGCACAGCTGATTCAAATGACTGCATGACCTCTTGGCTGCCACTAATTGTTGCAGAAGTCTGTTAAATCAGCCACTGATTAAAGTCAGGTGTTTGGAAGTAAGAACACGTAAAACATGCAGGGCAAGGGCACTTGAGGAGCAGGTTTGGAAACCACTGCTTTATATGCCTTATCTACTCTTATCTACTCTGCGTGTCACAAAAAAAAAAAAATTATTAATTTCTTTCACACTCCAAAATAAAGCATAACATCACCCTGTATAACATGACTGCAAATTATTCTAAAAGTTTTTATCTAGCACACATGACACTGCATAAACAGTGTGAGGAATGAATACAGACATCAGACATCTGACTTTTTTTTGTTGTTGTTGTTTTTTTTTTTTTTTTTTTTGTCCTGAGTGCAGTGCTGCAAACTGCTTTGGTGACAATCATGGGAACCACAAGACACAAACAGAGTTCAGGCTCTGACATCATGAGCCTGCACCTGTCCCTCCGCTTCTCGAAGTGGACCTCTGCCCCCGACAAAGTCTCTGCTGATGGAAAAATACATAGTCCGCCTTTAGGTCCACTTTAAAGTGTTATTTATTACCACTGGCCTTGAATTTAATTATCCCCAGGGCAAGTAGAGCAACCATAAAGCCATCAATTACATCAAAGTTTGGGGCAATATTTTTTCTGTTTTACTCTAGGAAGTGTGCATAGAATGACCAATGAGTGCAGTGTTTTATCTCCGCCTGTTCTCCCTCTGACAGTGAATGAAGCACCAGGATGAATTATGTCATATGTCATACAGCTGATGCCTTTTTTGTGTCCGTCACAAAAAAAAATAAAAAAGAAGATGACAGCTCATCAGATGATCGGTAAATCCGACAGCAGAATCCCTTAGCTTGCACCTACATAGGTGTCAGTCAAGCCGTCCGCCTTACTGACAGATGAGGTGACAGAGGATGGGGTTGGCAGATTGCCCGAAACTCTCGCTATGTTTCGGGCATAACTCAATATCTCAACGTCATGACTCACCCAAGGATATGTTCAGAGCAGGAATCCCTGCAAGGTCCGGTTGATCGCTGGTCTTTTGAAAAGCTGCATGGAAAAGCACAGATGGAGGAATGAGTCCCTGCTTCAGGAAACACTGTTAGACTTAGAAAAGAAGGAAAACTGGGTCACAAACTGTCCATGATTTTAAAATGACTGACTTGCTTCATTAAAGGCTAAAAACTTAAGTTGATGAAAAACTTGTGTAAGTCCAGCTCTGTCAGGTTGAATGAAGAGTGCCTGCAAATGTTACTATTTAAATTTTTGCCACAAATTTATTTGACATCAATACACTTTAATCAAATTCATTCCATTGATCAAAGTCAGTAATGCAGAGGAAGTAGCGTCTTTGTCCTATTGTCTCAAGTTTTTTGGAACCTCTAAAGGTTTTCCTTGCTGTCTTTCTCTCTGCTTAAGTTCATCCATCTTCTCTTCACCTCTGCTTCTTTGTCCTTGCTGAATCAAACACATCCCCACAACACATTTCTGCATCTGTGCCACCAGCAATTTTCACTGTGGGAGGGGGGATGTGTTGAAGATTATTTAGATTTTTAGATTCCTGTCAGATATTGGCATTTCAGAGCAGCCCCAAAATATTGTCTCGTCTCAGGGAGCACCTTCTTTTCTTGTAATCTGCAGCGATTGGATCTGGCGTTTTACAGAACTGCTTTTTGACAAGTGATTTATTCTTGCCACTTTTTAAGTATGATATATACAGAGACTCTTTTTCACATAATTTTTTAGTTGACACAAAGCACATTTTGCACTATTCTAAATCCAAAAAAAAAAAAAGAATACATTCAGTTTGTTCCACAAATCTGTCACCTTTTCCTGTTCAGTTCATAGCTTCAGTAGCAGCTTTTTAACGGTGCCTCTTCGCTTTCCCAACAGGTGTTACTCTTTTCTCTCCACACCAAATCTTTAAGCTGATTGTTACATGAGAGCCTTTTGAGGAGGCAAAACAAATACATAATCACTGCACATTAAGCAGTAAAAAAGAAACGCTGCTACATGTGAAAGAAGATGGGGCCTCTTTGCATCTGCCACACCCTTGTCATGCCAGCACTCCAGATGTCATGGGAACCTCCAACAGCTGGGGCTGGTGCACAAGGGCTGCGTGTGAAAGGCTGCTCCATCTGCAGAAACCCAATCCCTCTGTGAAACCAGCAAAGGATTAGGTGCTTTTGATAAGCTTGCTAAGACATTTCTATTAAAGCACATCTGTAGGAGCAGCGAACTGCAAGGACATTTACTATATGTGTGCAGCAGCCACATTTATAGTGGGAAGGTTGCAACCTCCTGTACAATACACTGGGGATCCTATGTTGCTTTGGTAACATCAATCCCCGGACAGTGACTAAGAATTAGCAAAAAGCAGCCATTAATTCACAGTACTTAACCGAATTATTCGGCTGGAGATGTGCAAGTCGACTATTTAACAGTTTCCACAAAGAGACAGAGTTGCAATCTCACTGCGGTCCTGGACGTTTGGAGAAAAGGGGAGGAGAAATGCAAAGAGGCCAAGTGCACGACACTTAAATTTGAGGGCTTCACATTCAGTTTTTGAAATGTCACTCTTTGCTTTGTAAGTCCATTGAATGCTGGCCTTCAATGGACTTACATTCTGGGCCCCCCCAGCTACATCATTACCACATGGATTTTTAAACTTATAAGGATCCAATCAGACATTTTTTTTTCATCTTTAAGAAAAAGAAACTCTGCTGCACTTTTAAAGCCAAAACGGAAAAGCCATGTCAACAGGCTCAACTCCAAGTGATCCTGAGGACGACGAGATATTCCATGGAAGTGTCTCTGCAAATCTGAGGAAAATTACCCACCTCAGTACCAGGCGGTATTTGGACAAAGAGCTGGAAGATGAGGGTGTGGAGAGGAGGGTCCAGCAGGACCACAGCAGGCTCTCCAAGTCCCACCAGAAGGAGTCAAGGCAGTCTCAGAGGAATGCTGCCAACGCTCGGGAGAGGGCGAGGATGAGAGTGCTCAGCAAAGCTTTCTCCAGACTGAAAACGAGCCTGCCCTGGGTTCCCGCAGACACCAAATTGTCAAAACTGGACACACTGCGTCTCGCATCCAGCTACATCTGTCACCTCAGACAGATCCTGCAGGAGGACCGGCTGGAGGACAGCTTTGCACATCCAGTCAATCTGGTACGAAATTTCTCCAACACCCATTCTTGGTTAAAAAAAATATATATATATACTTTCATGGGAAATAAAGCTCCATTTATTAATTAATGGACCACATCTGTCTCATGTTAAGGCTTAAAAGTTTTCTCAATAATTGTAACACTTTGAGAATAAGATTTGATCTAATGTCTTCTGTTGTTGTTATGTGTGAATTTTTCAGACATGGCCCTTTATCACGACAGGAAGATCAGAGGAGGACATCTCATCCGCTGTAAGACTTTGTGGTGCTACAGCGTAGTCAGTCTCTTTTCATTAAGCAGCTCACCAAGAAAGCACCTCCAGAACTGACTCTGAGATTTGCTTTCATGTTCAAGTGTCTGCATGTTGTGGTTTTGTAGTTAAACGACTCTTGACTAGGAACTGCAATGTGTTATTGTGTACATGTGTTGTGCTTTGTTTATTAGCTGTTTAGGTGTTTTTGAATTATATTTTAATTGGAAGTTTTTTTTTTTACTTCTCTGTTCACTGAATCAGAGCATCATTAAATAGCATGAGTTTGATTTAACATCAGTAAACAAACTGGTTTATGGTAAATACACAAAGCTTATATAGTGCTATTCAAATCATACTTACACTTTCTAACATTTTAGCAGTAACTTAGGGTACACAATTTTTCCTATTTTCACAAATACATTAAAATTTAAGACTATTTTTTTACTTTGGTTTCACATTTGTATAATAATAAGTAGAGCACAAAAACACCAAGGGATTTAATTATTATTTTATTTTCTTTATGAAAGACAGATTTTGCATTTTACATGTGAAAGCATTTTTATTTCAGTAATTCATTATGAGCTGATTGTGCAAATTGACAAAGCTCTTAGCCTCAGCTAACATAATTTTGCACAATAAGAAACATAACACGTTGTGATAAGAAACGTGAAAGTGTAGAGGTTTGGTTTGAATCATTTCTTTATTATGATGTGTTTCTACTTCACATCATAAGTCACTGAAAATCCCTTCTTTGAAGTATATTTCACAAAAACTTTGAGCTATCCCTTTAAGGCAATAAAACACTATTATGCATTTGGGCTTCACGTTAGATTTTTATGGTTTTGGAAACAATCTGAAAACAAAAAAGGTTTTCTTTAGTCTTTACATAATGAATTGTATTTATAGTGACCTGCGATACTTACAGCCAGTTAAACTTTCTCAAATGCAAGGGAAATGCAGCCTTCTTTCAGCCAGCTCAACAGCAGTGCAAAGCAACATTTGAGGATGGCTCAGCGCTCCATTGCCCAATTCTTCAAACAGCTGAAAAAAAAAAAAAACTCTTTCTCTGGGCGTCACCTGATTGGTGACTGTGTTCATAGTTGTTTTTGTTGCTTTGATCCTGTATCCTAAACTTTCCACTGTTTTATTTTTTCTGTCTGTTTTAGCCTTTTTAGAGCTTAAAGGATATCTGCACCTATCCCAAGGCCTTTAAAGACTTAGAAACAATTCTGATCCCCATGCTCAACAATCACTTTCTTGGGATTGTTTTTAGAAAAAATACTTTTAGAAAAAATGTTTGTAGAAATACTTTCAGCTATTTTTGGTAACCTGTTTTCTTTGGCATGTTTCAGTACTTTTTTTTTTTTGCAGATATGGTTAATTCATGGATATTATAACCATTTTTAAAAATCTGTTGAAGTTTATGAATTAATCTTTAGCTCATAGATTTTTGCAGTACATCACAATAAACACAGAAAAAAGCCTACAATAAAATGAGAAGGACAAATGTGTCTGCCACTGCTGATGTTCTTAATATTCTGTGATATGTCAAATCAGGTGTAAACATTCTTTATTTGCTAGGTAACTTCTAGAAAATGTTTGAAACATTGACTGCTCGGTGAGTATCAGGAAATACATTTTTAACTGTCTTGAGCAGCACAAGCAGTGTTTTCTCATTTGCTTGTTTTCAAAATCTCTGCCAGCAGGGTTCTTGAGAACTTGGGAGCATATTTGTAAGATTGTAGGCTTTCAAATTTCAGTCAAAACAAAGTTGAAGGAGAAAAACATTCTGTAGGTTTGAATTGGAAGTTCAGGAAGAAGGTGAAGGTCAGCAGCAGAGCATCCTGTTCAGTCAGCCAAACTTGCAATTCCCAAATGTGCAAGCTTGCACTCAACAGCCTCCACTCTTAGTAGACAGAATGCATAATAGTGATCTCTTGATGCTGCAGCTCTTTCATCCAGTTAAACCCCACAATGATGGGAGCACAGATGGATCGAGATCTTTTCCGAGGCGGTCTACTGGGACGCCTGGACAAAACTGTTCAAACACAGAAAGAAACAGGGAGAAGAGAGGATGAGTTTTCATCAGGTTAATACGGAGCTGCAGCTGTTGCCATCTTGGTGAGTTTCCCAGATCCTCAAACCGTTCTCCTGGGACAGACGGGTCACTGCTGGACCTAAGCAGCTAATGAGCTGCCTTCTCACACTCGGCCTTCCTCTGTTCTTGGACCGTTCCCTGCAGTTGGGGTCGAAAAAGTAAAAGTGACTTCTAAATGCCTGATGTGCAACTTGACTGCACTGAAAATGAGCTCCCATTAATCAAATCTGCCAAGACGTCGACAGAACTTGGAGTATACCAGAGTTAGCATTTCTGTCACATGAGCTGCATTTTCAAAAGTTAAAGTATTTGTTTTTACAAATGATTTTCTAAAAATAATTTTTCATGACAAGGAGGATGTGTGCCGAAGGATACTAAAACAAAGTTGCATTCTACATTAGATTGAAACATTAAGGTTCATGTCTTTGACGCTACTTGTCTGCCACCTAGTGGTGACAAACAGTGTCATAACACATAAGGTAATTTGCGTCTTAGAAGATGTAAATGTAATTTACAAACATTCATTTGGTGTAACATCTCTTTCTCATGTTGTCTTTGGATTTTTGCAACACCGCTGGCCTCTTGCACCCAACAATGATTCCTCCACACACTTTTTAGACAAGAAAAAACTGATATTTACATTTATGCAGGTAAATCTCAGTCAGATTGTTCAAAAAGGAACAGGAGCAAAGGACAGAAAGCAGCAAGCATAGTTTGTCAGGTAATAAATAAATAAATATGTGTGTGCATCTGTGTATGCATTTACAGTTCCCTTTAATGTAATTTTATGTCAGACAGTCAAACTGTCATGACTTTTGGCAAAGGTTTTCTATCTTTCAACTTGAGGTTTCAAACTTGAAGACACATACAGTTTTCAAACTGACATTAAGTTCTTTAATAATGCTGGCTACAGTCTAATAACCATAAGATGGCATCAGTGAGAAAAGTGCTTTAAGAATAAAAATGCCTCCTTGAAAATATTCAGTTTGTCCATCTGGACTTTGCAAGAGAAGCGCAAACAACTAACAGTGAAAGGTGGGAGAAGTTTTAATTCTGAAGCCACAGTATAAATGCACCAGGATGGATTCACATCAAGCATGCCATCTCTTTCAAAATATCATAAAAGGGTCCTTTTAAAAAGCATCTTTTCTTATTTTGGGGTCATGGCTGGCATTTGGTTATAAACTTCCTCTGGACTTATACATGGCCTGCAATTAAAATGTCTTCTGAGTTCATAATCTTCTATATTTCTTGGTTTCACATAACCTGACTGTGATGCAACACAGTGAAATATTGATTCTTGTCATTTTATGCCAATCTTGCCGTTTTATTAGGGGAGGATAATCAGAAAAATGGGAACCAGTGTGGCTATTTTGAAACGTGGGAAGAAGAGCATTCCACTGAAAAAAGTGCAGATTGTGTTTGTTGAAACACAATTTGATGAAACTGACTTCTTCTGTTGTGTTTCAGTTTTGATGAAGATTAATATCCTACAGCAAGAAAAGCTGCAATGCATTTTCGCCAAAGTGTGAACTTTGATCCCTAACATTTGAGCAAAAGACACATCAACAATTAAACAAAACTGTTCAAACATTAAACCACATTTTTAGCAGAGCAGAAAAAGCATTGAACAGAAAACATTTCTCTTATTTATCGGTGCTTTGAAGATCCAATTGCATAAAGACAGCATGTGACAAGCAGAATTAAATAACTATAACTTTGTTATTACCAAAAAAAAAGCTACAAATGCTTGCAGTAACATAAACCGCTGAGAACACAAAGGAACAAAATCAGCAGAGCAATGATGAGCAACAACTAGAGGACAAAATAGCAATAAAGAAGAAAGGCATCTACAAAAAATTTGTCTAAACTAGGAGGCATTTATACTAGAAGAGGTTATTACATGATGGGGGAAAAAAAAAGTGATCGATTACTGATGAGTAACAGCCAAGATAGAGGAGTTGGAGGCAACTGAGGACAACTAAAGAAAGGGAACGACTAAATACAGGTTGCAGAATACAGCAAGGGACACCCAGAATCTAATGAAACAGAGTACAACAAACACAAGACTGACTCAAAATATAAACAGTTGGATACAACAATAATACAACAATCCCGCTCCCTTGTACTCCTCCCTTACAAAGACTTTGAGATCACGAAGGCAGACAGAACAGTTAATAAAATGCTTTAATTCATTTTGGGGGTTTTTTAGGTTTAGGTTTATTTTACTGCAGTGTCATTCAGATAGTTGAACACTGCAGCTACCATATTTATTGGAACACCTGGTGTACATTTTTAGAAGTAATTAATAGACCTGGGCATCTGCCCGTCATATAAATACTGTATTTCTTGCAAACATTCATCCATCCTAAATCTATACCTGTTACCAACTTTTTTTCATATTGATTCTAGGGAAACACTCAGTACCTTCATCACAAACAGCTGCAAATTTCAATTGATACCTATTTTGAGGAGAAATGGAGAAACGCAAATGATCTCCTGATTTAGTTGCATTATATTTATCAACATTGAAGGAAAACACCTATAAAGAAATGTTTCACCATGATGGTTCATGCAGTATTTTCACCAAAGATTAATGTTATTGATACATTAGACTTCAGAGAACTATATTTTTCTTGTCCAGCAGAGGTCAGTATTTATTCACGTTTGTCGAGATGATAGCGGCGTGCAAAGTTACGTTTTCCACAAAATATTCAGAGCCAATCCAAAAACATTTATGTATTTTTTTAACAACAGTCATTCCGAGCAAATGCATTTCTAAGTAATCGGTTTTAAAGATTTGGCACAGCTCCACTGTTTTCATACATCAAAAAACATTTTTCATTTGAAAGATAATTTCCATGAACAGGAAGGTACTTTGTGTCCAAAGTCAACACGAGAAGTTCAGCGAGGCTCCCTTTGTAGCTACACTACACTAGTTTGCTCCCTAAAACTTGCAGGAATCCACCCCAAGTGCTCTGACTTGTCCCCGCTTTCTTACTTCACATCAACTCTAACTTGAACAGAATGATTTAAATTTCATGTTTTAGTCACATATGTTTGATGGACACATTACTTTTTTTGGAATATAAATTACTCCTTCAGATAATAACATTTTAATCTCTAATCTCTCATCTCACAAAACTTTTTTTTTTTTCATGCAACTTTTTTTGTAGATTTATTTGTAAAGTTTGTAAGCATTAATGTTTAACATTAAAGTCCTACAAAATCTG